GATTCCAGATCTTAGCCTTTAAGTTGTCCCAGCTGATACCCAGAGAAATAGAGATGAGCTGTCTCCACTAAGTCCTACACAAATTGGAGAACTGTGAATGAAATAAATCAAAGGTCTGTGGAGCACAGTAGAAAGAGCAACAGCCTGTAAGTCAAAAGGGCTTGTTTCCAATACAAGTCCTGCCATGAAATTCCCTTATGACTTTGGGTTAAAAACTAATTTGATTTTCTGGACTTGTTTTTGTTTTTTTTCCCCATTTACAAAATGAATCTCTAAGGTCTTAACCATTTCAATCTGCCTACCTGTACAATAGCATAGAATCGTAAAAGATTTTCTATGATAATGGTAAAATTCATCTTCTCCAAATATAGCACACAAATCAGAATGGTGGATGATAGGCATCTTATAGTTTGTCTCAAGAAACTTGCTTAGTCAATAGATGAATAGTTTCAGACAGGTACTATATACCAAACATTTTTCCTGATCTACAGGTAGTTACATTCATGTCTAGTAGGATAAGAGTGTGTGTGTGGTGTGTGGTGTGTGTGTGTGTGTGTTTCTTTGAAAGTAAGTGGAATGTGGCTCTCATGTTATTTACCACACATTTCTGGAGGCATAGTGCCTTCTTTTGAAACCAAGGCTATGCAACTTAGTAGCTTTGTTACCTTGGCAAATTACTAACCTTTCTGTGCCTTAGATTCTTCATCAGTAATACGGTGATAACTGTATTTTAAGGGCCATTTGTGGAGAAGGTAAATAGGTTAATGTATATAATAGCATCTGAAACAGAGAAAGCCCTGGATAAGCATTAGCTTTTTATATATATATATATATATAATATATAATATTATATATATATATAATATATTTAATGTGCAAGCCACTGGGCACATAGATCTGTCCCTCTCCTTATAGAACTATCTTGTCAGGAATATTTTTAAGCAAAAGACCATTAATTCAATGTCCTGAGTTTTGTAACAAGATGCGTAGCAAGTGGTGTAGGAGCAGACGTGGGAATGCCTGTCTTATCCTAGAGGGAAAGGTAGGGGCAGGATGAACTTCTGGAGGGTAGACTTTGATCCTTAAGGAAGAGAATTTAATGTGGGGACACCTGAGAATATGGCAGCAGTCATAGGCAGCATGGGGAAGGCAGTTTCTGACTTCAAAAGACAAATATTGTTAGGAGGGAAGGAAGGATGTGTGGCAGATTACAGATTATGTGGCAAAGCTCTCACTGAGAGCTTGTGGAAAACATATCTCAGGCCCTACCCAGACCTATCAATCAAAATGCACATTTTACAAGATCCATTGTTCCTACTGAACATAAAAATTTGAGAACCACTAGTCTTGGAAAGACTCAGGATTCAAGCTGCCTTAAGTTTAAATTTTGGCTTTCCTGTTTATTTATAAGTGTGACTCCAGACAAGCTATTTAACTGCCTTCCTATCCCTCAGTTTCCTCATTTGTGATTAAGGGGTAATATTTTCTGCCTCACAGGGTAGTTAGGACTAAATGAATTAGTATGTGAAGTATTTAGAACAGTACTTGACACCCAGTAAGTACAAGGATATTATAATTTTTGACTCATACACTACTATGGTCAGGGTTGTGCTATAAGCAGCCTGCCTTTTTCATTTCTATTCAAGTGCATGTCATTTTGACATTTGTTCTAGATGAAAGGGCACTGGAAATCAGAAGACTTGGCATTATAATGCCTCCAACTCCTAGTTTTGTGAAATTGGGTGAGTTCTTGAATATGTTTTCTCACTCATAGTATGTGGGCATTTTAACTATACCTGTTTCACTGACGCAATGAGGCTCAAATAAAGAATATACATTAAACGAAAAAACATTTCTATTAAAGTGGCATCTACCATCTTTCCAAGGGTAACTGATATTAAGTAACATTTGCAAACAGATGTTACCTCAATTTAGTGGGAAATAGATGGAAGAGAATATATTGGAAGATAAGGGAGATTATTTGTCCCCTTCACCACTTTCTGAAGGGGCAAGCTTGGTTTCAACAATGACTTCTTGAACCCGGAGAGTATTTATAACTAAAGGGAAAAGTAAAGTTGGAAACTTTAATGCTGTTATTTATTTTCTCTTTCTAATCTAGAGCTTCATTCAACACGAACAATCTCCGTCTGTATAGTGGCTCACAATTTACAAACAACATTTTCCTACGCTGTCTAACACATCCCCAAACTTTAATATCAGAAAGAATATTAAAATCCCCATATTTTGACTTGAGCAGTTTTATCAGATCCGATGTTTTCAAAAGTACAAAACTTGAATGAATCTTCAAGACCACCTGGCAACTGGCTTCCTTCCATGGCTGCCAAAAGAACACTGGGCCCTTTCTCATGTGTAACAGTGTTATAGGACAGGGAGAGGGGGAGCAACCCTCTATACCTCCTTCACAAAATTGTTCTGTGATTAAGCAAGAACAAAGGCTCAGGGGTGAACCTACCACGTCGTTGGACCTCAAATCAATCCTCTCTTCTTGCCTTTGACAAACAGCACGAGAAAGAGTTCATTCCCACTTCACACCAGGAGAAACCCAAAGTCGAAGGTTCGGGTCCCCCGTCTCTACTTGCAACTCCGCAAGCCCCAGACCATCAGGGCAACTGCAAAGTCTCTCCTCCAGCTGACTCTGGGTGCCGCAGGCCGCTGATAACCGCTCCCCTGACCCTCAGGAAGGCGCTCCTGAGCCTCCACCGCGCTGCAAGAACCAAGCGGCTTTCTCACCGCCCGTCACCTCACCTACAGCAAAGGCAGCATCAAAGCCTCGGCTCCATCTTGGCCGCTACGTGTGACGCCACACGCACGGCGGGCGCTGTCCATTGGCCGAGCTCGCGCGAGAGAGGCGCGCGAAGCCCGAGAGGAGGGTGTGCAGAGCGAGGGAACTACCGTCCCGGCCTGCCTCGCGCGCGCTGCCTCCCGAGGGCGAGCGAGGAGGGCGCTCGGTGGGGACCACAACTCCCAGCAAACTCGCGATGCCGCTCCTGGCTTTTCAAAACGCGGAGGAAAAGGACGGAGAGCACGGAGGCTTCTGGTGTCCGCTCTCCGAAAGGCGGGAAAGGCAAACTACACCTCCCGACGGCCGCGCGCGCTCGCGCCTGCGCCCTGAGGCCTGTCGCCATCTTGCCCCTTCTGAGGCACAGCAAACAAACCCAATTCCTGGTGTCCCCTAGTCTTGGCGGAGGAGCCTTTTAGATGAGCCCGAAAGGCCGGGCAGGTGGGTGACTCTCAGACAGGGTGCCGGAGCGGGCTGGCAGGTTAGCCAGGTTGGAGGGGGCGCTGCGCTAAGCATTCGGAGCCCGGCTCGGGGCGCCCAGCCCCATCCTCCGTTGTCTCCTAGCGGGATCACGGGGCTCCCCGGGTGGGCTGCGGGGGGACCCTGGCAGACCTGGTGCTGGATCCCTGGGATCCAGCCCCGGGGACCTCCCGGTGAGTCGGGGCCGCCTGCCTGGCTGTCCGCGCGCCTGCTCCCTCTCCGTTGTCCTCTCCGCCGGGCGCGGGGCGCTGCTGCCGGCCGGGGCCCCCGCCGCCGGCTCGGGGTCCCGCCGCGGCTCGGGTCCCGCCGCGCCCGGGTCGCGGGCTTGACATTGGGCTCGGCGCCGGGCGGCCGGGGAGCGGGGCGGGCGCGCTGCTCCTGTTGTGGCGCTGCGAGCGAGTGCGTGTTTGGGGAGGGGGCGGGGCGGGTGAGCCTCCTGACACTTGAGGGGGGGCAGGATTGTGCGAGGTCCCGGTCCCCGGAGCGGGCTCCCCGCAGCTGTGCCCGGGCTCCCGGCGCGCTGCGGCCCCGCGGCGGGTCGGCTGGCGGGGACGCGTGGGGATGCAGTGACGTGGTGCTGGATTCGGGCGGTCGCCGGCCGCCTCCAAGATCCTGTGGAGAGGCGGGGACTGGCTGGTGGAGGGAGAGGATTCCTTTGGCTCTGCCCCTTCTTCCTCCTCCCCACCCCTTTTCTTTATGTCATCCTGCCGGTTGGGGCGCGCAGTCCGGTTCTCCTTGCTCGGGGTTGGCTCCTAGCTGAGAGGACGATGGGAAGTAGGGGGAGGGGTCTCAACTCTGGCCGTAGAGTTGGAGTTCGAAGCTTCGGTGCCTGGAATGGGATGCAGCAGTTACAATGAGTCAGTGCCCGCCTCCTGGACTACACCGTGAGCTCGCTCCTTCACTCACGCACGCACTCCATGTTCATCCATCCATTCATTTTATTCTCTTCAGTCACACCTTTATGCATTTAACAAATATTTGCAGCAGATCTGCAGTGTGCTAAGCAGGTAATGTGCAAGTGCCCAGTGCTATTGTCTTTTAATCCCTTAGTCCAGAGAATTTCCAGTACGAAGTAAGTTCCTGACATCTATCCTTTAGATAAATGTTTGTTTAAAGACCACAGGTGTAAATTCATCTTCAGTTGTTAAGACTTGAGCAGAATTTTTTTTTTATTATGTCCCACTAACCCACATACTGTGCCAGGAGTGTTACATATTTTAATTTGCGTACCATCAGGGAGAAAGCGGATAGATATCAAATAACTTGCCCAAGGTTACACCGGTTATAGCAGCTATTTACCGAACAACATACCTGCCACAATGCTAATAACTTCACATTATCATGCTCATTAATCCTTATAACAAACTGGGTGATTATTACCTCTGTTTTACAGATGTGTAAAACTTATACTCAAATAGACCAATATACACAGACTCACACAGCCAGTAAGTTGAAAGCTGGAACTAGAACCTGGAGCATCTGATTCTAAAACCTGTGCTCTTTCTACTGTCATCGGCTAGAATAATAACTTCCCAAATGGTGGTTTAGTTCTTCATTTGTCAGAAGCTGAAAATGTGCTGGTGGAGTAAGATTGGAGTATCTAATTGTTTTTACTTACGTGGCTCTTCAAGTGAGTGGCCTTTTGAATGTACTTCGGTAATTTGGTTTTTTGTTTTGATAGGGAAGACAAGCTCTTTGGGGCTACCAAAAAGAAGCAGCAATGCCTGTTGTGTGGCCAACCCTTTTGGATCTCAGCAGGGATGAATGCAAAAGGATTCTTCGAAAATTGGGTATGAGTTTATTTGGATGTCTTAATGCCTCACTGTGATACTTTCCCTTTCTGTTAGAGGCATGGCTTTTTCCATGGATGTTATATCTCATGTTGCATTATAGATTCTTTACAGGTATAGTCCCTTTAGCATCTTACTCATTGTTTTTTCCCCAGAGCCTAGCATCGTCCTTTTTGTGCACAGTAGATGCATGAATCACGATACTAATAGCAGCTAACTATTAGCTAACTTCATCTCATTTACTCCTCAAACTGAAAAAGTAGGTTTTTTTTTTTTTTTTCTGGTGCCCGTTTGCAGATGACAAAACTGAAACTTACAACTTGAGAGGTAATGCCAATAATAAGTTAGGATTTCAACCTAGGGAATATGATTTCAGTCTCACTTTGTCATACTTTTAACCTTCATGAATGTGTATGTGAATTACTATTTCTTAACTCTAAGTTAAAGAAAATTATGCTTACTTTCCCAAATTTATTTTTCTATCAGTAATAAAACACCCTGTATGCTTGTAATGAATTATTTAGTAGTTCTTTTCCTTTAGTAATTCTTTCCTTTCTCAGCTAACATGTAGGGAGAGAATTAAGCCATAATGCCTGGGCATACATTGTATGTAATGAACTAACTTCTTGTGCATCTGGAATGGTATTAGTGTTCATATTCCTTGGGGAAATTGAGAAAAATGCTACTTTAGACTGTAAATTCCAAGAAGAACCTTGTCTTATTTACCACTGTAGTCTCAGGCTAACACATAGTAAGTACTCGGTGAATGAAATTGAAAAGAATACTAAATATTTTGGCAGTAGATAGGAATTACTAAGATACCTATGATTTTTAAGGGGAAAGTGTGGACCTTGAGTTCAGACAGACCTGGGGTCCCAGGTTACCAATGACCTACATAATCAAGGACATGCAATTTAATCTTACTAAATTGCTTGACATTTTTATAAAAGAAGGATAATATCTGCATAGTAAGTTTGATGTAAGGATAATTGTATATAAAAAGGGCCTATCACAATGCTTGACATTTGAGTGTATAGTGTGTTAAAGCAAGCAGTTGCTTTTAAACGTAATTTATCTTTTTTTCCAAAGGAAGTCTGTGTTGGGAATTCCTGTGTAATTCAGAATCTTAGCTGTGTTGGCCCTGCCTACTAATAACCTTTGCCCCTTTAATTTCCCCTCAGGCTGCTTTGAAAATTTCTTTATTTTAAACTACTTAGTATTGTATCTTTGCATGTCCTGAGAGTTTTTTTTTTAATTTTCAGTCATTCTTTTGTTATTTTTTAAAAATCCTTTAGCCTTTTACCCATGTTTTTAGTCCTAAATTACAAATGGTTTTCTATGTGTTATGTACAATTGCTATCACTTGCTAGCTGCCAGTGATAAAGTTTGACTCATATTTCACAGCTGAAGTGGTTATGGAGCAACACATCACAACTACTGTAGATTGGTTTGGACTTCTGGGCTTGGGGGCCTTGAATCAAGAGATTATGTTTAATATAAAAATGGTAGCCTTTAAATTTAAACTAAGCCCTAATTTTAGTCCCAGCTCTATGTGTAATGCTCATGGAGAGCTGCATCTATACAAAAGAAAACAGCCTTTCTACAGGGTAATGTCATCTTCAGTGACTCTTCAGTTTGGGAGGTGAGCCTTGATAGTGATTTTGCAGAAATACTTCCTCCCCACCCATTGAATCATTATCATAACAATGGAAGCTTTGAATTGCCTTCAAACACTAGCTGTAGGTGTAAAGTTTAAAGAAGGTACTGTATTTAAGAATTAGCTTAAAATATTTTAAGAATTAGCATTGTCCTTTTGAAGATATACATCATTTTAATGTAAGATGCTAAATACTTAGATTTTACTAAAACTGGGATAATTTTTTTAACTGAACATATCAGTGTAAGAGTGATGTAAAATATAAAAACTTTCCTATGTTTTTCCTGCCTTATTTTTCTTTTTTTTTAAAATTGTTTATTTATTTATTTATTTATTTTTGTGGGACCCTCGCCGGTGGCCGGGGAACGAACCGGCGCTGCAGGGGCTGCAGGCAGCCTTGCAGCCCAGCGCTCAACCGCTGCGCCACCAGGGGAGGTCCCCTGCCTTATTTTTCTATCATCATCAAACCCTAACGTGTAGCTTTATGGACTGGTATATTTGAATGACTGATTTGTTTAAATGGAACAGATTGAGAACTTTATAAAATGATTCGGCAAATCTTTTGTTTTTCTGGGGTATTTGCTTGTGTTTGTTTCATTATACTTTTGTGTCATTAGAATTAATACTATAATAGAATGACACCAGATGTAATACCAGAAATTCAAGTGTGATATTGTCAGGATATCTGAGGATACCCATCAAAATGGAAATCAACTAACATGAAGGAAGTTGGGAAACTAGTAAAGGCTCTTAACCCTGAGTTAATTTCTGGAGAAGGGGAGGAAGTATTTTGGATTGTATAGCTGTGATAACAATGTTCTGAGTCCCAGTTTTGTGTGAAATAGCGACTTCTTTTGTGCATGACTCTTTAGTTAAGACTTGGGATGGGAATTGAATGTCAAAAATTTTTATCACATTTCTTTAGTTAATTTTGCCCTTTTAAAACAATAGTGTCCTAATCTCCACAAATTCCACAGGCCAAAACTTATCTTCCTTTTCTTTTTCCTCAAACCACTTCTCACTGACCTCTCCATTTCTTTTTTATGGTATTGCCATGCTCTTAAACATCTTGTAAACTGCAAAACCTGATTCCTTCTGCCATTCCTTTTATGTTCAATTACTGAGTCCTATCAAATAAAAACTTTTTAGAATGGAATTAGAGATTTTTCTTAGGCTGTCCCCAAACCAATTTTCTGTTTTTATCTTTTGTTCCTTACAAGTTTCCCTTGTTGGATTTTAATCACCCAGAGGATAGAGACATTGTTTTGTTCATATAAATATTTTCCATGGCACCTTATAGAAGTAATATTCAATTAGTAATTTGCTTTGAATGAGTGACTGTCCAAGAAAAAACATATTTTTACTTCTCCAAGGGTAAAATTCTTAAAACAGTCACTGACCTTTACTGAAAGTTTGATGTCTATATGAAACATCTGCTCTTTCTCTATGTTCCTTTTGCACATTTGTATCCCCCAGCCCCCTCTCCCCCCTCCCAGCATTGTTCTCTTTCTGCTAAAGCTTATGCTTCTACACTAAATGATGTGTTTTTCTCTGTCTTTGCACTGTATTGTAAACTGTATCATAATTGTCTGATGATTTGCTTCACTGTAGCCGTATTCTAGAGTTAACTTCTTAAGGACAGGATTTAGTATACTGAATATATATATACATTCAATATTTGTTGGTTAAAATATTCCATAAATGGGACACCGACATTAAGAATACAGTAAATTCTTAGTTGATCATCCCTTGTTCTTTCTGAACTCTACTTTAGGTCCTGTTAAAAGCTGAAATGTTTCTCTTAGAACTAAATATTTACTTCACTATTGCAGAGCAGCAGAACTTTCTCCTTCCAGAGAGACACCATAAGACATCTGTATAGAATCCAGCACAGATTGAACATGCATAATGTTTGCACATGGGATAATTCAGTTGAACCAGATATTTCTATATAATTTAGTCAGCTCACTCTTCTATATAAACATGTTTTGTTGACAGTCAGAAATGTAAATAATATGACCTGCATGAGGCTACTAGTTTTTTATTGGTATAGTACCTAATATGGAGGGGTACATGCCTTCATTATTTGGCTAACACTGATTGTTGTCTGTCAGGCCTTGGCAAATAGCAAATACTATTAGCAATTTAAATTGAGTAAGGAGATAACTAGTCTGGACAATTACTTCCTTTAATTTTGCTTAGATATACTTGTTTCATAGTGTTAATGGTTAAAAAAAAACTATTATTTCTCATGGCTCCTTGGTTTCTTGGTCTTGCCTGAACCCTTTCATGAGCCTGTATTCAACTGCTAGCGTGGCTGGTAGACTGTTCTCTACCGAGAGAGCCGTTCATCCTGGCCTTACTCACAGCTTGGTGATCTCTAGGTTCCAGGAGGACAAGAGCATACATGTATCATGTATGCTGACGTTCCACTGACTAAAGCAAATAATGCCAAGCCAAAGTCAGGTAGGAGGGGACTATACAAAGATAGTACACAGGAGTACACTAGGAAGCTGTGTTTGTTGAGTGCCATTGAGGACTTTGTGGTTCTGTATTTTAACTAGACCTATGGTCTGACAGTTTCAGTAAGCAAATTTCATAATGGTTGTTGCTGTGGAAAGACAGTGACATGAGACTGTTTGGCATTAGGATTCAGGATTTTAAGTCCTAGTTGCTGTAAGAGCATTTCATGTTCTTTAATTGATCTTTGTCATTTTGATGGTGGTTTTTGTAAGACTCAGATCTTGGATCTGGAAGGTACCTTCAAAGTCTCTTGTAGATAAAGAAATTGAAGCTCAGGGATGAAAAAGAATTTGCCCAAGGTCACACAACTAGTAAGTGGCAATCCAGAAACAGATTTGGAACTAGAATCTGGCCATTTGACTCTTGTTCCAGTAGTGTTCCATTTGCCCAGTTCTCATAGGACTCAAATTTACCTAGGATAGAGGTGAAATATAGTTTGAATTCTTTTTTTTAATTTAATTTAATTTATTTATTTAGATTTATTTATTTATTTATACAAGCACTGGGTACAGTCAGAAGCGCGGGAGGGTGAGAGAATTCACCAGAGCCAGAGCGGGAAGCAGAGCAGGCAGAAGGACCGAAGTACACTGCTGAGGGGAGCAGCGGCTGCGGGAGAGGTCTGCGCACCATGTGGGCCCCTCCTGCGGTGGCCGACAGCCGGGGATTGAACCGGTGCTGCAGAGCTGCAGGCAGCTTTGCAACCCAGCGCTCAACCGCTGCGCCACCGGGGAGGCCCTAGTTTGAATTCTTAAGCAAGCCTAAGGGAATTTTTTTATTTCAAGGATTGGTTAGTGAAGGTATCTTTCAGTGATGCTAAAAATGTCTCTTAACAGCCTTATTCTATCATTTTATTTTATTCTATGATAGAGATTTAGCTTAAGCACTAAAGATTTCAATTTGAAGACTGGTATTCATTTTACTAAGTATTTATGACTGGGATGGGTGTAGTCTTATTTTGTTTGGTATGTTTAGTTGTTAGTGGTAGCAATTGAGTTAAATTTTCTTCAGTGATACTTTGTGAGATAAAATAAGGTATTTCTACCTAAGTATATGACTTCTGCAAAGCAATAAAAAGTAAAATTATAAAATCCATATTTTAATCTATGCTAGTAGATACAATATTTGAAAGGAACTAAAAAATATTTGCTTACTGATTTTTCTCCAAGTGATTTTTAGATTTGTTGCCCTGCACCTTCAATATATGTAGCTATTGTATTACTATATTAAAGATATATGTTGACAAAATAATTTTCTTCTTCTAGAATTGGAGGCGTATGCTGGAGTTATCAGTGCACTTCGGGCACAGGGAGATCTCACCAAGGAAAAGAAAGATCTTCTTGGAGAACTCTCGAAAGTTCTTAGGTAAATGATCATAAAGTTTGTGAGATACAACTCTAGAAATTAAATTTTGAGGAATTTCAGTATATTTCACTTTGAAGTTGAAGGACAGAGGTTTTCAAGTGCTTGGTGCTCAGTGATCCCATCCCAGCTGTGTGTTTTGTTATAGAAAATCATGTAACTTACCACTTATACTATAATCTTACAAGAAAGGATTTAAGGCAGGTTATTTTAGATTTAGGCCATCTGGGAAAGGGAGGTATTTTTGACATTGGGAAAGGAAAGGAGAGCTGAGAGCATTTTGATGTGAAGATACAGAGTGACATTTATTGGGAGAAAGAAGGAATACTAGGAAATTGTCTTAATTTGTAGAAATAGGTAGTGTTTGTATAGTCAGAGCCTTAATTATAATTTACCCTTTAACTTCCCACTAGAGTGGCACTTGAGTCCATTAAGAAATTTTAGTGACCTAGGTTCTTTGATACTTTGTCTTAATCCATTCTAATATATTGAGCTTTCTCAGAAAATTTTCTGTTTAAACTGGTTTTCTTTATATATTTAAAACCATTTTCCTATTTTTAAGTAAAGATAGGGAAGAGACTCTTCCTATATTTAATTAGCATTAATATAGGGTCATTGTTATTAAACCAAATCTTCAGTCTTATTGCCTTGATATTTAACAATTTCTCTTTTTTGTTTATTTTCTTATAAATTCTGCTTTCTAATCTTTTAAATATTTTATCGCACGGTATAGATATAGCTTAAGCATTAAAGATTATAATTTGAAGAGTGGTATTTATTTTATTAAGTATTCATGAATGGGAATGGGATGGGTGCAGTCTTTTTTCAGTTCAGTATTAACTTTACATGAATTGAATCAAGAACAGTATAAGTACATTTTTACCATAGCTGTAACATGATACAGTGTAGAAGACACACAGCTGAAGTGTTGAGTAACAAAGGAGTAATATCCTGGTGTCAAGTTTCATAGCTTATAGCCACAGGAAACAGATTATCTCCCCACTTTCATTTCTTACATTCACTAAACAATGTATCCTCTTAAGCTTTAGGAAGGACTTTAGAAGACTTTGTTCTGAGTGCCTAATTCCACTTCTCAGTAACCATGGTTGGAGGTCATTCAGTGGCTGATACACAGAGACCTCTTACAATCTTGAACATAGTCTGATGTTTCTGAGTTTTGGAAGTAATGGCTTTATATAAAGGTGAATTTGTCTTCCTGTGATTTCTAATTTACAACTAGGTCTCCCTGCATTTACACAGAGTCAGTGTGATTCCTTTTCTATGCCCTTAATTAAAGCCTTTGAGGATATATATTAGGTCCCTGTCTATATCTTTACAAGTCAATCTTATTTCTATTCCCCCCATCAGAATGTTCACTTTAACATTAATGAAAGTATAGAAAAGAGCTGCCTGCTTGGCAGAGTTCTATAATGGCTATTTTTTTTCATAGCATCTCAACAGAACGCCACCGTGCTGAAGTTCGGAGAGCAGTAAACGATGAACGGTTAACAACAATTGCACATAAGTAAGCCATTAGTCATACCACCCCTGATTTTTTTTATGACTTAGTGTAATAAAGTTTTGAAAACAGTCTTACTATTGTGTAGCAGATTCCTGAGTTTTAATTTTAATAGTAATATCTCTATACTCAGGAATCCTGACCATACAGATCTTAATTGTTTATTCAGTTGGTAATGTTTTTGCATTTGGTTAGGCAAGCTTTAAGGACTTAGGTCAAATCTTGTTACAATGTAATCTCTGTATAACTAAAGGCCATCACAGCTTAGCAGATGATTCACTTACTTGAAGCAAAGTTCAGTAAAAAAATAGTGTGCTCCTGGAATTTGCCAGCCCCTTAGAGGTTCTTTGTAATGTTATTTGACATGTGCATTGCTTTATAAATAGGCATTATTAATTTTTCGATAACTGACTCAAATATTTCTTGTATTTTGAGATTCAGGAAAAAGATTGTAAACTGTATATTTTGCTTTTAAGACATGGATAGGCAGCATTTTAATTCATTTTTAAAAAGCCAGTAGTAAATTATAGTGTATTCTTATCAAATTGTTTTCAAATCATTATAACTATTTCACAGATGAGGTGGAGGGTGGTGGAGGATTCAGGGCAGGGATCAAGCCTTAATAGAATGTGTATGGAGACAGTGCCTCCTAAAGAATAGACAGGCATTGAAATTACTCTTTAAATGTTAATGCAAAAATGGTAGGAATATTTCATAAAATAAGGTTTGTTATAGTATAATTCATTTGATATTTTTATATTTTAATGTGAAATAAAACTAAAGGAAAAATTCAGTGCATTTGTATAATATAATAAATAGTATATTTAAACCAGTTGGCAGTATTCGAATTGACCCTAAAGATCTATTCGCTTCATGTTTGATTCACTGTTCCTCATTTTACTTAACTTATAAAATGGGGAGCTATCGTTTTAACTATGTAGTTTAAAAGTTTAGCTATTTGAATTGTGAGATTTTTCAGGGGCAGGTATGTATGCATTATAAACATTTTTGCAATTTTCCATCAGAGACAGTATTTAGTTGTCAGGCCAGCAATGGTTGAAATATTCAAATATTGTGTTCCTGCTTTAATTTGCTCCAAACATTTGAATTGAGATGCTCTAAAAATAACAGTCTTATTTACTGGCGAACTGGTAATAGTCAACGTAAATGCCAGATAATAAAGTAGTAAAAGATAACTGACATTCAGAGGCACTTTAGGGACAAAATTAGTACTTTAAAAGCATTGGAACAATATTGTGGGGCAATTAGTTTTAAGTTGATGCATCAGTCATACTTAAAGGATAACATTTATTTAGTTTCCTTTTCCTTTTTTCCCCTTTAAAGAATGAATTTATCCTTATATTTGGGTGAAAGACCAAGTTACAGGTATGCAAATAGGTTATTATTATTTCAGGCTTTTTCTTGTATTTATTTCAAAATTGAAGCTCTCAATTATTCAAGGGCACATACTCCATTTACAAATAAATTGTGCCTCTGCTTTTCCTTTTCTTCCCCTCCTCCCCCTCCTAATACTGCCCACCCTTTAGTCATGTTGCTGCTTTGAGTACCTCTTGTCAGAGGGTGGGAAGGGAGAGGAGGTGAAATTTTTAATTAGTCGTTTTGCTGCTTAGTAGTTGTCTTGGAAGAGGTCTGGTGTCAGAATTTACAAGTATTTGCCAAAGTATATTTCGGTGATATGTGGGGTCTTTAATCTGTTTGACCTCTCCCTTGCCCTCCTCCCTCTATTAGCATGGATAATTGAGAGTTGGCTTTTATCTACCTGTGTTTCCTCTTTTTATCTCTTTCTGATTTCTTTAATACACGAATTTAATTTTTTGAAAAAACTTTACTTCAATATATAATTTTAAACTTATTAGATCTATTCATGCTCCTGTTTTAATATTTTATATTGTGGTTTTAATTTGACCAGATGTAGTTACTTATTGAGGCTTGGGGCCAGAAAGTGGGGAACGGTGAGGAAGGCTTAGATTCCGCATTTTCTCCATCTCCACCGCCCTCTTTCCCTCAAACTTAGCCACAGAACCTAGTTCCAAAGTGTATAGAAGGGTTTCACACTTTGAGCCTGTAAAATAACTCCAGAGGGAAGGAGGAATGCATAGGAACTGAATGCATTTCCCCTTCTCCTCCTCCTTCCCTCCCCCACTCAAACCTGCCCCTTAGGCCTGAAGGAATGTGGTTGAAAGGTGAAGAGAAAGCCAAGAAGATTGAGCACAATGAGGTAGAAGAACAAAAGGAGTGTGGAGAGTCTGGGATCACAGAAAAGCCTTGCTTTTTGTGGCTTGAAGCATCACACATTTATTATTTGGCACCAGGCCATTTATTAAGTTTCATACTCCAGTTTTGAACCATGTCAGAATATTATAGTGTTAAAGCCTAGAACTTCCAAGTTTTTATTGGGCCACTCTTGTCAATATTGTCACTAGAGTTTGAAAGTAACTATCTGGAATGACTGTTTTCTTAATCCCTTCCCCATCAGCCATACATTCATAGGATACTGTGTATTTCTTTGTGAGGCGAGAATTTTTTGCTGCTGCCTGAACACCAAAGGATGTGAGGGCTACAGTAGTTTTGTTATTGTCATGTTAGATTTCTCAGAAAAGAAATTGGATGGAGCAAGGTTTCTACCCTCCCTTGCCAAACTTCATATAAACAGAGAGGTGTTCTTACACTGAAATTTAGGTGTTCCAGGAAAGCCCTGGAGTAAGATCTTTACAAAATTTTGTAAAATTCACTTTAGATGATTTGGGTGACTAATGCATATCTATACTCTTAATACTGAGCAAATAGTAATTTTTGATCAAGTTCTAACATACAATCTTTCACTAGAAGAATCTGAGCGTGTTTCAATGAGTAGAAATTTGGAAGACTTAAAGATCTTCTGAAAAGTTGCAGCTATGTCTTTTTTCTGTTTTGTCAATAGCATATGTTCATGTGTTTTAAGTATTACTCTTCCATAATTTCTGCCATTACTTAAACAATTAACCAGATAAGTGTAGGACTTTGTTTAGTAAACTCTCACCAAACATGTTTATTAGTGATATTCTAATAAATAATAGCAAAATAGGAGTAAGCCAAGAAAATACTAACCAGCTTTTACAGTTTTCCCTGACAATTAGCCCTTTTCTATCTCTCTCATTTATACCATTCTCTGTTTTAGAACAAGCATCAATGTGGAAATTATGTAGTAATAAATTTGTGACGGTTATTGGGGTCTCAGAAACTCATCTTTCCCTTGTTTTATGCAGGGATTTATTAAAGCTTGAAGAAAGATGCAGTATTTCCCCCAGTAACTCAGTTAAATTAATTAACCCCTACAAATTCTTTTCTGAACTGACTGTAAATCCTCCAGTTATAATCTATTCATTCCATCTAGTAAAAGTGGGTAGCTATTAGATAGTAGTGTCCAGTTAGTACAAATCTAAAACTAAAGCTCAACATGGAATATTTTTATACTTTCCACTTATGATGTGGTGAGTAATTTCAGTATGTTGTTAAAGGAAGCATAAATTGTAGTAAGTGTGTGACCACAGGCAAGCCTTAGTTAACCTTTTAGTGACTCCAGTGACTTTCCCTAACTATGAAATGGCAATAATGATATTACCAATTTCATAGGATTATTGAGAGAATTATAAGAGTTAATACATGAACAATGTTTAAAACAATGCCTGGCATATAGTAAGTGCTTAACTGGTGTTAATTGTCGTTCTCATCACCATCATCATCATTATTCCACTATTCACTGACAAGGGCTTTTATGTACTTTACCTAAATCTGAAAAATCAGTGGACATACAGAGTCTTAAATTCTAGGTTAGGTTGTAAATGTTTGATTTTAAAAGGGTGCAGAAATATATCCATTTAGGGAAGAGATTGATGAGTTCTGGGTGAATTTTAAACCTCAACATTAATCATTAGGAGAAGTGACACAATTACTTTTTCTGGAGCCAACTCAAGAGAAGTGATACAGCTGTCTTTTCATATTTCAACTTCTGTTTGGATTCCTGCAATAAAATTTGCTTAAGGAGTTTAGAGTATAGAGAGTGAGAATAGTGTCTGTTTAGGAGTAGAGTTTATTAGCAGAAATGCATTCTATTAGAGTGAAGGGTAGTATAAATAAAGTAGTGGCAGGTTTCTTCCAGTGTCCTCAGATGCAGTCTATTTATTTTATATTAATAGGAAGGATAACAATTTATAAGACATTGTCAGTGAAAAATGAAGTTATTGTGAACACACACACACACACACACACACACACACACATATATCACACACACACAGCCTTTTTATCTCTCAGTACCTAGTTTCTCTCGTTTACTGCCTCATTTTCCCTTATTTGAAAGCCTTAGAACCTCTGGCCATGCAGGCAATTAGAAATTTTGGAAAGGATCAGTGATTTATCTCATCCTTAATTATTACAGAAAACCTGATTGTAAAGGTTATGAATACCTTTTGCATTTTTGATCTGATCGCAAAATTAACTTCTAAATGTTAGTAGAAAGATCAGTTTTCGTTAGCCATAACACTGGATTTAAACTAATAAGATGGATGTTGATTTTTATTTAGAAGGCATGAAAACATTTTTCAGAGTTTCAATTACATTTATTAAGATTCAGATTATAGAATAAAATGTGTAAGAACCTAAGTGTATGTGAAATTCCTTGAATTCTAATTATTCATAATTTTGATCTTGCTTGCTTATAATAAATAAAGCCTCTCCTATTCACTCAGGGTGCTTTTAATGGTTTAAAAGTTGTATTTGAGAAAATGTATGGATTCATTTTCATGATTGAGAGCCTTTGTAGCAGCATTTTCTTTTTGTTTAGTATGTCTGGACCTAATAGTTCTTCAGAATGGTCCATTGAAGGTCGTCGATTGGTACCACTGATGCCCGGCTGGTTCCCCAGACCGCCTTCACTGTAACAGCTAATGCTGTTGCCAATGCAGCTATCCAGCACAATGCATCCCTTCCAGTGCCCGCGGAAACAGGAAGCAAGGAAGGTGAGTAGAAAAATATTTCTGTATGAAGAGATGACTTTTCTCATATTCTTCAAGAAAAGTCTTATTTTTCATGTTTTTATTCAAATGTGTGAAGGCTGCAAATTATAGTGAGCAGCTCTTATTCTGAAACTGGAGATTACCAAGTCTCAGCCAAATTTAAATCTCTGTTTTGTTCAAAGTATGAATTATATTAATCAAAAAATTGCAAAAGCCCTTCTTGGAATGAATTTTTGACATCAGTGTATCTGATAGGAGTGCATAGAAGGCCTTAATAGGTGACATGGAAAATAAATAAGGTGACTGAAGTCATATAACAACTGGAAAAAGATGCTGAACTGGTACTTCAGAAAATAAAGCTCTTTTATTGTCTTCTGGTATCAGTGTTACATGCTGCCTCTGTGTTTTAATTAATGAGCTAAATCCATCAGGGATTAACTAGCAGATGGAGAGGCTTTCTTACTGTTACATAATTAGTAAAATTGACACAAGCTTTAAAAATCCTTAAATTCTCCTGAGGTTACCAACAGTAATATTAAATTAGAGCGCACGGATTTGGATTGACTTTAGTAGTAGTTTAGTTGGTGTTGGATGAAAATGACTGAAAATACAGCTGTCAGATTACTTTTCTTTATTTGTCCTAATATTCTTGCCTATTAGTGGGCGGTGGAGCAGAGTGAGACACACTTGTCATACATGTCAAACTCTTTTAATACGATCGAAGCTTATGTTTAGAGAAGGCCAATTATTAGTGTACAAACTTGGCCATTTTTGTTTGTTGTAGGAGATGTATCTTTCTTCGCTTCCACTTTTATCTTTTCAACCCACCAACTCTGGAGAGAGTGGAAAGAATAAAGAATTTTCAATAGTCAAATCTATTTGAACCTTAGTTTGCTACTTCCTAGCTATGTGACCTTCAGCTAGTCTTTCAGCTTCTGTTAGACTTGAGTTCCTCATCTTTGAAATGAGGATGTGATGTTCTGAGAATTAGTGATACATGGAAAAGATTTAGCATAGACATGGTACTCAGTAAATGGTGCTTATGACCTATTATTGCTATTGCTTTTATTCAAGAAATTGGACTATAATGTTGTCGGTCTTTAATTGAGTTATTGTTACATTGTTTGGATGGCAAATGACTTAATAAGTTGATTTATACAGTAATTAAGGAACCTTGCCCCTAGTGGCCAACTTGGAAATTGCTATGGTTAGGGGAAAATGATCCATCACTTCATCACTGGTGCTGCTCTTAGTAGTAAAATAGAATCCAACTATGACTTTTATTTTCCTCACTATAGTTTTAATTGATTTCTTTGTAACTGTGCTCTTATCCATTGGCAATGTCACCTGTAGACAGCTGCTAACTACTTGGGGAGAACCCAGTTGATGATTTTCAGGGAAGTATTAGGTGTTAGGTCCACAGGTGTTAGGTATTAATAACCTTTAAACCTGTGACCCTAACACCTAGGACTGGTCTCTAACTTGATCACATGAAAATGTTAAATTTGGCCTGCAATAAAAAATAATTTTTCTGTATGCGTGGACAGTTTTGGTGAAAGTTAACAGCACACTTTTTTATCGTTCCTTCAGTAGTGGTTTGCTATTCCTACACAAGTACCACGTCAACCCCAACCTCTACCCCTGTTCCAAGTGGCAGCATAGCAACGGTTAAGTCTCCAAGACCTGCCAGTCCTGCCTCCAATGTAGTTGTCTTGCCAAGTGGAAGTACTGTTTATGTCAAAAGTAAGTGATATTCTCAGTGTTATCAGGTCCATCATGGCTAAATGCTGCAGCATTGGCTCTGATTAGATCTACCTTTCTGGATTAAATCACTGGTCCACTGGCTATTGGCAGTGGTTAGTTTTGAATTGAAGGTTCTAAAGAATTCGTTTCTTTCCATGTACGAGGTATATATTACCTTTTCATCAGTTCTGGGGGTTGAGAAATTACTTCTTTTTTGTTCTTTGTGAGGAATCTGCCTTGAGCAGTGTTATCCTTCCTTCCAAGTATTCACTTGTTTTGTCATGGAATAGAAATGTGAACAGAAATGGAAGGAATTATGCTTACATTGACTTATACAGTAATTATAATCTTGAGGTGTTTTCTTAAGTTCTAGATCATCCAACTGTTAGGTTCAATGAGGCATTCTAGAGTCCATCTTTATTTTTTAGTTGACTGTAATTTTTTGAAGTTATATATGCAGTTTTTAATCCCTTAATTCTATCCTGTTGAAAGTTTGATGTCTAGTTCATTTTTTTTGTTTTTAATGTCTGTTATGTCATTATTGTTTTACTTTTGATGTCAACTGGACATCATTAATGTTTGATTTTCATTTTTCTCGATGTACTTATAAACTTGATTTCTTTGAACTATAGCAGTGGACTTTGTTGTTTCAGACAGGAATGATTCAGGCCATCATCAAGCTCGTTTTAAATTAGAAACTAAAAACTCAAGGTGTAAGGAGTTAATTTTATTATCAATTCCATGAGTCATGCTGTATACTTTTTAAATAGCTGCTCTGTAGGCATTTCCTATGTATGCTGCTAGGTTTTATGTTTTTCACTTTGTTTTTTAAAAGTCTACAAAAACATTTGAGACTTTGGTGCACAAGGAAAAAAGAATCTGGGATTGTTAATCTTATATCTGATTTCTTTGGATTTAGCAGCGTAGTCTTCTAAATTATTTGTGGAGATCCATTTTTGGATCTTTTTTTAAAAACATTGATAATTTTTTTAAGACATAGAAAGTGACCCCTAAATTTGAAGAAGCTGTTTCATATAATAGGTAGTTTGAAGTAACAGGTAGTTTATTACTTTGTTCCTAGAAGGTGCACAGGCAACATTACTTTGATCATTTATTCACCTAACTTCATAAATTAAGGTACTGTGCTAGTGAAGCAAACCAATATGACATAGTCACTGCCCTCTGGGAGCCCCTTAATGGGAGATGTGCAGACTGACAAGCACATTGTCAAGGGGTAAGTGATAATGAAGAGAATGTACAGAGTGTTTTATAAGCTCAGAGGAGACATAGATTAGCTTTGCTTAGAGGACTAAGGGAAAGCTTCATTGAAGAGATGTCTTGCGGGGTAATGATTTTGGATGATGAAGAGATCATTGATGAGAAGTGGTGTTCCTCAAAGAACAATAGTATATGGAGAGTCCAGATGGATAGGCTCCAGTAAGGTGGCTTTGGGAAATGGAGAACATTTCAGTCTGTCAGGAGTATAGGGGTTTTGGTGGAACAGGGTATTGTGGTTTTGGAGAGATAAGGAACCTTGAGTGATAGAGTAATGATTTGTGCCTCATCTTGGAGTGAGATAAAAACTACTAAAGGGTTTGAGGTAGAGTATAGGCATGATTACATGTGAAATGTTTTAACTGGTAGTAGGTTGGAGGATAAAATAAAAGTGGAGGAATTGGAAGTATACCTTTTTAGAAGTTGTTAACAGAAATAACAGGCAGGAGGCCTGATATAGATATAGGGTCAAAGATAGGGGAGAAGACATTTCAAAAACTATTTCTTTGAAATAGTAGAAGGTAGATAGGACTTATTGTCTGATGGGTACCATGCAAAATGAGATGACACAAATTTTAAAATAAAGTATACAATGCACCGTTAGATTTGTGTAAACATTATGATATTGTCATTGCTTTCAGGTGTTAGTTGTTCAGATGAAGATGAAAAACCCAGAAAACGAAGGCGAACAAACTCTTCTAGCTCCTCCCCTGTTGTCCTGAAGGAAGTTCCAAAGGCTGTTGTTCCAGTCTCAAAGACCATCACTGTGCCTGTGAGTGGCAGTCCCAAGATGAGCAACATCATGCAGAGCATTGCCAACTCCTTACCACCTCATATGTCTCCTGTGAAAATAACATTTACCAAACCATCAACACAAACAACAAACACAACAACACAGAAGGTATGTGGTATAGAGGGACTCCTGCCTGCCAATTGCTGTTTCCATTTCTTTCAGTCAACATAATTCAGGTTTAACAAACACTCACTGAGTGCTTACTATGTGCTTGGCATTATGCTGGGAATGTTCACATCTCTTTAATTCTGCACATGAAGCTTTGAAATAGGTATTCTTTCACTTTTGTAGGTGGGGCTTAGAGGTGTCAAATGATTTTACCCAAAAGGACAAAACTGCCAGATCTACTTTTCAGACTTCCATTCTATTTTATAGTTGTGGTGTTGTTTGGAAGAAAATTAAAATATAAATATTTTTATCCTGTATTTGAATAACTTTAGGAACTCCATTTTTACTTGGCCAGGTAACAAAGTTGTCATTTAGGTGTTTCGTAGAAGAAAGGAAGTGTATGATGGAATAATTATTGTTACCATCTTTTGTTCTTCTTTGTATGCTATCATTAATTCATTCCTAAACTCTTTTCTCAGCATGTTCAAATCATTATTATTCTGTCAATTTTATGTTATTAGAATCCTGTAATTTCCCACACTAATCTGGATGCCGATGGCTCTCTATAAACTTGCTATATACCTGGGATGTCCCTTAGTTGTCATTCTGATCTTCCTCTTCCTTAGTTTATTTACTCTTTTGCTGCAGCAGTTTCTAGTAGTTTCTTGGTGAAAGGGTGGATGCAAAGTAAATATTTTGAGACCTTGCATGGTAGAGACTGAAAAGTTTTTTATTCTACTGTCTCACTTTTTTAATGGTTTAGTTAGATAAATTATTAGAGGTTGGAAGTTATTTTCTTTTAGAAGATATTGCTTCATTGGCTTCTGACTTCCAGTAGTTCTTTTGAGAAGCCCAGTGTCATTCTAACTTCTGATCCTGTTCTTCATTTTGAAAACTCTTAGTAGCTTTCAGAGTTCTGGAATTTCAAGTTAATTTTCTTTGGTGTGATTCTTGATTTGTACACTCAGGGGCCTTTCATTCTAGATACTCAAGTTCTTCAAATTTGGAAAATTTCCTGGATTATTTGATTTTTTTCTGTTCTCTCATTTTGAACCAAGCCATATTCAGGTTGTTGAACTTCCTGGATTGATCCTTTAATTTTCATGTATTTTCTGCTATTTTCCATCTGTTCCCAATTTCTTTCTAGCAGATAATCGTGGTTAAAGCCCTACATTTTTGCATTACAATTCAAATCCTACCTTTTGTCAATTACCAGTTATGTGACTGTGGGAAAACTAAATGTTAGACCTAAGTTTTCTCATTTGTAAATAGGGGAAATAGTATATCTGTTTTGTCAGAGGTTTGGGGCTTAGAGAAACAAGATATAAATATAAAACTGTTAGACTAGAGCCTAGCACATAGTACATGTTATCAGAGTATTATTTCTTTATCCTTTAACTTTATTCTTTTAATTTCTACTAGCTCTTTTGTTCTCTGAAAGTTCCTTTTCTTAAAAAATAGCATCCTGCTCTTTCATAAATTCATGATATTCTCATGATAATCGGTTTTTAATGATTTCTTTCATGTTTTCTCCTTTACTTGTGATTTCCTTTAATCTATTTGTTTTGATCTCTGCCTTTCAATTTCAGAGTTTCCTTAAATGCTGGCTGTCTGCTTATATACAAAAGTGGGCACTAAATGGCACTAAAAAGCTGACAGAAAAAGATCTTTCCGTTTAGTGAAACATGTTGGTTGGCACTAGCTGGATGTTCTGTTGAGAAAACAGCCACTACTCCTACAATTCTACCTGTTGTCATTCTCATGTAACTTTTTCGTGGGCTGGTCAGATTCCTCAAAGAATTGTATAGTCTCCTGTCTAGAGTAGTAAGTCTGTCTACTAGTATTTTTGGAGTAAATGGAGACAGAGGGCTGAATATACCATTAAGTGTATACGCTTTTCTTAACTTTTGTTTTCAGCATAGCACCCACACCCCTCATCCTGGTGTCACATCAGATTCCCTTGAATTCATTCTTTTCCTCAGAAAACAAATTCCTGGTTTGTTTACATGGGAGAAAATAGCGGAGGATCTAAATATTTCTTAGATTTTTAACTAATTTTCCTCTCTATTTCTACTTTTATACTACTTCAGAAATATATTACCTTTCAATTCCTAAGTCTTTCTGGGGTTCTCTGATGCAAGTTGTCTTGCTTGTCCTTCTGTATTGGCATCTTAGGTTTCCAACTTCTTGAGTATGCTTGGTCAGTTACTACTAACTAGTCTGTCTGTTTTCTGATTTCCAAAATTTATGGCTTTCATCTTTCCATTTTGATCTTATGGGCTTATGTATTGCTTCCTTTAAAAAAAGAATTCCTTATACTGTTTAAGAGGGATTTGGGGGATGTTCCATGTATGGTCTTTTCTACCTTTGAATCCTCAGGTTTATTATAACTTTAAAAACCTCCTAGGGCCTCCCTGGTGGTGTAGGGGGTTGAGACGCAGCACTGTGGGGCTGTCTGCAGCCACTGCAGCGTGAGTTTGATCCCCGGCCAGGGAGCTGCCCATATGGTGCTGCGGACCTCTCCCGGCTCGCCCGCTGCTCCCCTCAGCAGTGTGTTTCAGTTGGTCTGCTTGTTCTGTTCTCCACTCTGTCTCTGGTGAGTTCTCTCACCACCCCCCCCCAACACTTCTGGCTTGTGCCCCAATTCTTATGTGCGTGAATAGATAAATCTTAAAAAAAAAAAAAAAAAAAACCAAAAAAAAAAAAAAAACCCTTCTAGATTTTCCTGGAAAGATATTATTATATAATATATAAAAAAATAACATTTTAATCAACAAACCAGTAATGGTAATGGGCTGATCTGTGGTATATATTTCTATTTTCAGTGTTATGGTGAGGGAGTATGGTTAGTGTTAAAATTGAGCAAGAATTTTTGTGGTCAGAGAGGCCTGGATTGGAACCCCAACTCTTCTAGTATGACCTAAGATACAGTCTTTCTAAATATGTTCACTGATTGTGATATGAGAATAATGTCAGTCTTATATATGGTTATTGGGAGGATTAAGTAAGGTTGGGTATTTTAGAGTGCGGCATAAGATAGGTACTCAAAAAATGTTAGCTCCTTTCCTTTCCAGGTATTTTATGGAAAGCAGTGTTTTATTTATTTACATTGTGAATTCATTGTTAACTGAAGCTTATCCCTTAATATACAGAAATAGACTATGTTGTATGTTATAAATTGTAGAAATAGATTATAGGGCTGGGCCTGCCCTGTATTGGGTGCCATCAGCCTGATATACTTTGCAAGTTTTTAAGTCTATTTACGTTAGTTTTTTTATTACCTTTGCTGGCTCTTATTTTATAGTAATTCTCTTTTGCCTGCGTCTCATCTATTCTTCTAATTTGGTATTTGAGGAATAGTGGAGAGAAGTTTTAGTTAAAAGAGCACCCACCTCCTATCCATGTCCTTATATTTCCTTACTTTGTTTTATTTTTATTCATTATACTTAACCACTAGTTGACATATTACCTATTTATTTTCTATTTCTTCCATAGACTAAGTTGTCAAGAATACTTTGTCATATTCATCACTAGATTCTCCTTGTGTTTGGAACAGTGCCTGGCATGTAGTAGGTGCTAATTAATATTTGTTTGAATGAATGAATGAAATTATAAATGAATAAAATAGGTCTGGTTTCAGTACTGACTTCGGTCATCTTTCTTCAGCCTCAGCTTCCTTATGAAACGCATTATAATAGTACTTACTTCCCAGAGTTATCAGGGTAATTAAATGTGATGATTCATGGAAAGTGTTTAACCTAGTGCACGCGATGAATGCTTGGGAAATATCACCTAACGTTATTAATTTTCCAGTCATCTTTGGTAGACTTACATGAAAATACTTCGATAGCTGGGAATTCACCTGTAAGCTATGTTGGTGAACTTTTTTGTTTTTTGATTCATCGACTTTACTGTATCTTTATTTTTGTTTTTTCTTTTGAACTTATCAATTGAGTATGGATCATTGACTCATCAGACTTGTGATGGTTTTTGTAAAAGGACTTATCTCCAAAGTCATGTAGGTACCATGTGGTGGAATTTTAGGTTCAGCACCTTAGATTTGTCCTACTGTGTTTTAAAAAAATGAGCATTTAAAACAAATTAAGCAGAACTCATTCATTCCACAAATATTGATTCAGTATCTACTGTGTTCTAGATGCAAAACTATATTCTTATTTAATGTGTACCCAGTGCCATTAGTTTTATTGTTTCTTGGACAAGCTAAGTGTGGGTAGGACTAATAGATATTCTTTGGGATTTTTCTGTTTTTTTTTTTTTCCCTTTTGATGGGTAATTGGATTTTTTTTTAGATTGCTATACCGTTACCATTATTGTATTTACTTTAGATTTTTCCAAATCCTATGTAATTTAATTTAGGAATTATTTTAGGTAAAGTAACTTTTACATTATAAATAATTATGAGTTTGTGAACTTGATGCAAATTAAGATAGGTCGTATATTTTCAGGGTAGACAAATTTCCACCTATGTTAATGTGGTGCCTTCATTTTAAGTATAACATTGGTACAGCACTTATATAAACAAAACAACAGAATATAGCTTTATGCTTTCACGTGCTTGATTGATATTTTTCATTTTATCCTTAGGGTGCAAGTCCCAGCACTCTTAAGGAGTTTTTGTGAGTGCTAGAAGGTCAGTAATTTGAATTATGGCCTGAATAAACACTGTTTGATTCACTTGGTTTCAAAATTACTTCACTTGCCCTGTCATAATAAGTAACTTTAAAGTACAAGTAAATTTTCTTCAAGGTGGATCTCTATTTTGGATAACCCCTTTTCAGATCAGAGAAGTCATTTTGCAGCCTGAAATTTCAAAATATATTTTATCATTTGTATCTATAACCTAAAACTGCTCTGAAAGACTATAGATTTACTTTACTGAAATTTTGTTGTCTTAATGTTAGAAACCTATGTGCATACTCTAGTTCTGAAATTGCAGATATTTGACACAAGTGTGAATGCCTCCCCTCCCTTGCCCATGATAGACATTGCTAATTAACTGCGGCATACTTTACTGCCAAACCTTGGTGAATCCTCATCTGTGCCACAGAGTCCTTAAAAACACGGTGCTCCAGGAAGCTACTGCTATTAATTTGGAGTTGGCAAATGAGAACCCGAATTGCAATTGCTACTCTTACTGGTTTGACTGTGGTATTAGCTATGAGTTCTTTGGATTCTCAGAATTTGGGGAAAAGATATATGCTTTTTTAAATGAAACAAATAGAGGAGTATAGTAAAATATATTTCCAGATTGGTTTAATCTATAATGACCTTACTCATAATCCTTTAAATATTCATTAAGTAGTAATTATAAGTTACTGTTAAATACCGTTTGTTGACTATGAATTAATTATTGACCACCTGCTATGTGCCTAGCACTATGTTAGATGCTTCCCATCATTATCCCATTTAATCCTTGTAATGAGTTTGTGAGGTAGGTATTATTATCCCCATTTTATAGATGAAAATTGGAGCATAGCCTGCCGTCATTAGGCAGTAACAGGATCTGAGCTCTCAGGTTCATTTGACTCAAACTTCTAGTCTTTTCTTTTTAAACCATATTGGTCTGTTTCTCAGTTGACACGGTGGTTATTCTTGCAATAATGCTAATAGGTATTTGCTGATCAAGTCCTAATGGAAGTATGCTACTTATCTCTATATAGATGTTTGCTGGTCAAGATTTGTATGTCTCTCTTGACTTCTCAAATAATTAACAAACTCCCTAAAGACATGAGCATGTATTTATATCTTATAATTCTCTGTAACACTGACACTATATAATAGCAATGATACAGTTAAAACCTCTTGATATATAGTACTGAGTACATATATTTTTAGTAAATTTTGACTAATATAACTTCAGAACTTCTTTAGGATTGTATAAAAGTGGAAAAGAATTTCTCCTTTATTTGCATTTTTCAAAACCAATTTTCTGTGCTGGCTAAAAGTAAAAGTAATTTCAGTGAGAGGAGTATCATGTTTTGGGTATCATTCTACTCACCATTGATTGAAACTGATGCTGCAGATTTATAAATGATTTTTGTGTTCTCACCTGTAAAATGGGGATGATAATAATAGTGTCTGTATCATAGAATTGCTCAGAGATGGAAATAATCCAATGCATATTATTTCTAGGAGCTAATCTTGTTTTTGTTCTTTTCCTTAACCCTGTCATTTCATACATCAACAAATCCTTTTGTTTCAAGCTCTCAAAATCTGAATCTGATCTTTTGTCTTTATTTCCACTACTAACCCATCCAGTCTAGGTAGCCTCTATAATTTCTTGTCTGGTCTACTGCAATAGCTTCTTTTCTAGTCTCACTGCTTTTAATCTTGCACCACATAGCAGCTAGAATTTTTTTTTAAATATAACTCAGATGTTATTGTTTTTCTGCTTAAAATCCTCCCATAGCTTCCTGTAATACTTAGTATAAAATCTGAATTATATTTTCTGGCCTCAGGTCTGATCTAGCTCTGCTTACTTTTTCAACCCCTCCTTACTCTGTATACTTTTTGCTATGCTGGCTTATTTTTGTTTTTTAAAAATGTCAAGCTAATTCTCACCTTAGTTCTTTGCTCCACCTTGCTCTCTGAAATGCTTTGTTTCTAAATAGTCTACAGGTTTTTTAATCATAGTGACTAATTTTGAAATCTCTTTCCTGCCTCTTTTTTCCTCTGTTCTCTGTATCAACCTATGAGAGCAAGTCCTGTTGATTTTGTCTTTAAATATGTTCAGTCTGTTCATTTTTGCCACTTTGTCACAAACACTTTGGTTACTGTCATCTCTGCTTGGTTTTTTGCAGGAGCTACCTGATTTGTCTCTGTGTTTTTGTTGTCTCTACTGTACTTCTTAACTAGCAAATAGAGTAATGGGTTTTAAAAATTTTGCTTTTAAAAGTTTTATATTTACAGGAAAATTGAGAAGATTATAGTTTTCCTATTTCTTCCTTCAGTTTCCCCATTCTTAACATTTTATATTGGTATGGTACATTTGTTTACTAAATTTATTAACTAAAGTCTATGGTTTATTGATATTTCTTTAGTTTTACCTATTTCTGTCCTAGGATACCACATTACTTATACTTGTCATGTCTCCTTGGGCTCCTTATGGCTGTGAAAACTTCTCAGACTTTCCTTGTGTTTGATGACCTTGAAAGTTTTGAGGAATACTGGTCACATGTTTTGTAGGATGCCCCACCATTGGAATTTGCCTGATGTTTTTCTCATAGTTAGACTTTGGTTATGGGTTTTCAAAAGGAAGACCACAGGGAATAAATGCCATTTTTATCACATCATATCAAGGGTCTATAATGTCAACATGATCTAACATCATTTTAGCTCCCCATTAGTTCTCTGAATCTATTCTCTGAACCAGTCTTATAAATTCCAGTGTCATTCATTAGGCCCGTGAAGCTTGCTTCTGCCTTAGGGTTTTTGTCCTTGCTGCTGTGCCATTGAATGCTCTCCTCTAGGCAACGACAGGGTTCACACCCTTCCTTCCTTCTGGTTTCTGCCTTAATGTCACTTTATCAGAAAGCTCTTTATTGAATACTTTATTAAAAACATTGTACAGAAATCCCATTACCCTTTATTTCCTGCTTTATTATCTCTTCCATATATCATTTTATGATTTATTTTTGTTTATTGTTTCTCACTATTAGAATGTAGCTCTATATAAAAGTATGAAGTATTGTTCATTCCACTATCCCCAGCATCTAGAACCATGCCTGGCACATAGTAGATGCTCAACAAATATTTATAATGAATGATTATCTAAATTACTTTCTGAGAAGATCATGCCAATATAGTCCCTATGCAGTATTATTGAAATATTTACTTTGCTGTATATTGCACACCATTGAGTATTGTCTTTTAAGGTATTTGGTTGGTGAAAATTGTTTCTCTTAAATGTATTTTGATGATTACCACTAAAGAAAGGCTTTAAAACATAATTTTAGTTGTATATTCCTCTTTGTTAAATTGTTCTTCATGTTTCATAAGCTATTTTTGAATTGTATATGAGCTAGCTGTGAGTTTAGATACATTAGTAGTATAGAGGGTACATGAAAATAACTTATTTTTCCTTCCTTAGGTTATTATAGTGACCACATCACCAAGTTCAACCTTCGTGCCCAACATTCTCTCCAAATCCCATAACTATGCAGCAGTCACTAAGCTTGTACCAACATCAGTCATTGCTTCCACAACTCAGAAGCCACCAGTGGTTATAACTGCTTCACAGTCCTCCTTGGTCAGTAGTAGCAGCAGTGGCAGCAGCAGTTCTACACCATCACCTATTCCCAATACAGTTGCAGTAACAGCTGTGGTATCTTCCACGCCATCTGTGGTCATGTCAACAGTAGCACAAGGTGAGTGGTGATTCACCATGTCATTTTGTCCCTGTGGCATATGGGAATTTTGGAGAAAACTCTTCAAAACATGTGTTTTTCTGTTTTGGATGTGTAGGTCACTACTGATGTATCAGAGATGATTATTCCCGCTGCCATGAGAATGTCATGGTCGTGGGTTACTTTGTTTTCTTATATTAATTTTAAAATGTATTTTCCCCAAATGCCTGGTACCTAGTTTCTTAGGCAATTAATATTCAAAAAATGTAAGTTAAATCTTTCACAACAAATTTCAAATGGAGCATACAAATCTCTTTAATATAATGAAATTTGTGAATGAAGAACTTGTAATTATCTTACTATAGGTTCTTCAGAAGAAACATTAAGTATATAAATTTTCATAGTAAGTCACCTAATGATAAGAAGTGGTGGTAAGAGTATGATTTCAAGGACACACCATACGTCTTTTTTGTCAGTCTTCTCAGTTTTTCTATAGGGTAGATGATAAAGATAACGAGAGAGGAACTGAGATTGAACTGAAGGACAGTTGCTGCTTAATAAAGGAAATGAAGCAAGGAGTCCTCACTTCATTGTTGTCTTAAAGCAGCTTAGCTTTCTTCCATATCTTTGCTTTCCTCCTATATGAGAGGCAAATAGCACACTGTCAAACTTTGTTTTTACAACATTGGTACGTCTTAAGTTGGGGATCAGAGGGAAGCATTTATTATGTGGATTTCATACCTAGGTTTGTAGTCTATTAAAGGAACATGGACACATAGACTTGTACTTAATATTACTTTTCATAGACTTATGCTTATACTTATGAGTTATATAGCAAGTCCTGGGACTTGGAAATATCTTAATTTGTGAATTAGCAGTGGATGCAAGCATTCAATTAGAAAAAAAGTGATTTTCATAACTGCTTTGTAATAGTGTGTTTTATATATTTTTGTAACAACGAAGAGCTGTGGATGCAGTGTCCCTTCACTCTACAGCCCTGATATATGAGTATAGGATTAAAGGGTCTGTCATTATTTCCTGACTCAAATACCCATTTAATATTTCAATCAATAACAGGTTTAAAATTTGTTACCTTGGGCCTTCCCAGTGGCACAGTGGTTGAGCGCTGGGTTGCGAAGCTGCCCGCAGCCTCTGCAGCGCCAGTTCAATTCCCGGCTGCTCCCCGGCCACGGGAGGAGGGTCCCACATGGCGCGCAGACCTCTCCTGCCTCGCCCGCTGCTCCCCTCAGCAGTGTGCTTCGGTCCTTCTGCCTGTTCTGCTCCCTGCTCTGGCTCTGGTGAATTCTCTCACCCTCCCGCGCTTCTGACTGTACCCAGTGCTTGTATAAATAAATAAATAAAATAAATCCAAAAAAAAAAAAAATTTTGTTACCTTAAGTAATTTTTAAAAACCATTTCAACCTTTCTACTTGCATAGTAGTAAACTATGATATAGTATTGTTACTAAAAATAGAAATAATTTTTATACAGAAAGTCAATTTAAAATGATGATTAGTTACTAAATAAATTCCTGATTGCAAATATGATCCAAATTTACCATTTCAAAATTTGAAGATGAACAAAGGAAAGGCTGTCTCTTCATTTGACTGATCCCTGCATTAAAACTATCATCAATTGATAGTTCTTTTTTTACTTCTCATACTAAGCACACAGTTTGCTAAAGTTTTACTATATTAGAAAGATTACTGTCCTTTCAAGGAAGTTGTTATTTGAAATAAAAAGGATGTTTTTCTTGGTTACTAATGAAATATCTATGTAAAGTAAATATTCCATATTTATGTTTTTGTTTCTTGATTTTCTCAGATATTTTCTGAATTTTGAGGGAACTTATAACTTCCTATTTTATCCTTTACTTCTTTTTTTTTTAAGATTTATTTATTTTTTATTTTTATTTATTTATACAAGCACTGGGTATAGTCAGAAGTGCAGGAGGGTGAGAGAATTCACCAGAACCAGAGCCGGGAGCAGAGCAGGCAGAAGGACCGAAGCACACTGCTGAGGGGAGCAGCGGGCGGCAGGAGAGGTCTGCGTGCCATGTAGGACCCTCCCCCGGTGGCCGGGAGCAGCTGGGGATCTAACCTGTGCTGCAGAGGCTGAGGGCAGCTTTGCAACCCAGTGCTCAACCGCTGCGCCACCTGGGAAGCCTTTATCCTTTACTTCTTAATACCGTGTGTCCTTTGAAGCTTGAGTAGGCACGGGGGAGCTGACATGACAATGCAGAAATTTTTCACACAGTCACTGAAGTCAACAGATCATGAGGGATATAAGAGTAAACTATCTGAATATAGATATTCAGGAAACTATGGTTATTTTGAGTTTCCATTTGAGATCTTGAATTCAGATATTAATGCTGAGGCATTAAGTATTTGCTTTAAATAAAAGTAAATGTTAGTGGAAGAAACAATATATAGACTGCAGTGGTGCTTCTGACTGCAGGGCTTCTGTAGCAGCTCCTGTAGTGTGAGTACTTGGTGGACAAGGGCATTCGGTGTTTGCTTCTGTTAGGCAGTAGAGAAAGGCTCTTTTAGAACGAGGTATCTGTAGTTATTTTTGCAGTTTTTGCAGTTGGTGGTAGAAGGGGAAGAGTCATAGCACAGTACCTTTGTGGGTGACACCAAGTTTGTAAGTGTAGAGATGATTCCACAGGTAGGAAGTAGAAAGATTGTGTATGGGTTGGCTCATGCTGTGGGAAGGGGAAAGAATTCCTTAATATTTGCAATGTGGGAATTCTTAAATTCTACTCCTGAGAATGGTTATTCTGAGATGGTCTTCTAGAGGAAAGGATAATTTTTTTTATTATGAAAAATTCCAAATATACATAAGTAGAGAGAATAATGTAATGAACCTTCATGTGCCCATTACCCAGCTTCAAGGGTGATCAACACATGGTCAGTTTTGTTTCACTTGTACCTGCTGTTTTCTTCCACAAATCCCTGATCTGAAATGTTTTGAAACAAATTCCAGATTTGTAATTTCATCTATAAATACTTCTCTTAAAAAAATTAAGAATACCACTATGACACCAAGAATTTTTTAAAAATTTTTTTAAAGATTTATTTATTTATTTTGTTTGTTTGTTTATTTATACAAGCACTGGGTACAGTCAGAAGCGCGGGAGGGTGAGAGAATTCATCAGAGCCAGAGCAGGGAGCAGAGCAGGCAGAAGGACTGAAGTACACTGCTGAGGGGAGCAGCGGGCGGCAGGAGAGGTCTGCATGCCATGTGGGACCCTTCTCCGGTGGCCGGGGAGCAGCCGGGGATTGAACCGGTGCTGCAGAGGCTGCGGGCAGCTTTGCAACCCAGCGCTCAACTGCTGTACCACCGGGGAGGCCCGACACCAAGAATTTTTAACAATAATTTCTTGAGGTAATAAAATATCTAGTTAGTAGTATCCAAATTTCCTTGCTCATGCCATTAAAAAATTATTATTATTATTTTTTAATTAGGGCCCAAACAAGGTCCATAAGTTGTATTGGTAACTGTTATGTCTTTTTACTTGTGTATCTCATCACTTTTTCTCTCTTCTTTGTAATTTGTTGAAGAAAGCATGATCCAATTTAAGTCTGATTATTTTTGGAGACAAGGGGAATGAACATTTTTCCTCTTGCATCACTTTAGGAGGCATGTCACATCTGTTTTTTCTCTTTTAATGATATTAACATTGATCAGGGGCCTCCCCGGTGGCGCAGTGGTTGAGTGCTGGGTTGCGAAGCTGCCGGCGACCTCTGCGGCGCCGGTTCGATCCCCGGCTGCTCCCCGGCCACCTGAGGAGGGTCCCACATGGCGCGCAGACCTCTCCTGCCGCCCGCTGCTCCCCTCAGCAGCGTGCTTCGGTCTTTCTGCCTGCTCTACTCCCCGCTCTGGCTCTGGTGAATTCTCTCACCCTCCCGCACTTCTGACTGTACCCAGTGCATGTACAAACAAAACAAACAAACAAATAAATAAATAAAAAAAAGCCTCTATTAAAAAAAAAAACATTAAAAAAAAAAACATTTAAAAAAAAAACATTGATCAATGGGCGTATTCTTTTTTTTTTTTTTTTAAGATTTTTATTATTTATACAAGAACTGGGATACACGCCAGAGATGCAGGGGGTGAGAGGATTCACCAGAGACAGAGCAGGGAACAGAACAGCAGATGGACTGAAAGCACTGCTGAGGGGAGCAGCGGGTGAGACAGGAGAGGTCTGCCCCGCCATGTGGGAATCTCCCTGGCTGGCTGGGAATCCTACAGACAGCTTCATAACGCAGCGCTCAACCTGTTGTGCCACCGGGGAGCCCAATGGCATATTCTTAACAAATTCTTAAAAAGCTATCAGCAATTTGCAAGGCTAATGATAGTTGCAAAAATGAATTGTCTTTATTTTGTTTATGAGCTGGAGTAACTTTTCCTTATTACCATTGGTTATCCTGAGATATAATTCATATAGGAAAAGCAGGGTAAATACCTGACTATTTTCCTTAGTATGTTCTCAGATAATGAATTGGTTCAATGACCAATGATATTTTTATTCCCCGTATCATTAAGATTTTTGATGTCCTATCAAACCATTGCAGATATTCTTTTGGTGGTCAAGCTGTCCATTCCTTTCCAGTGAGGGCCTGTTCAAATTGGCTCCCTAGGTTCTTTTGACACATCTGCATTAGTCCTTAACTTCCTTGTTTTGTGGTAGATGATGTCCAGGTTTACATTGCATATATTTTACCCCAGATTTGGAAGTAGATATTTCTTCAAGGAGCCCTGATTTCTTATGAGATCTACTATTTAGATAACACAATCTGGGCACTGTGGAGATAGTGATTGCTGCTGGGTTGGTGGTTGTTTTTAGATTTTTTTCCCCCTGAACTGAGCTAGGGTCCTTTTTTTTTTAAAGGGGAAATATATCATCGTTCATATTTATATTACCAATTCCAGTTTAGAATTATGGGGTTTTAAGTTTTTTGTTTTTCTGTGTGTATAATTATATATATTTTTATACTGAAAACCTGGTTCCTAATGATGAATAAAATCATGTATTTGATTAACATAGTAGT